GAAATGACCTCAGACATTCTAATGAAGTCTTTAGCAAGAGATCGTTTTCAGACCTTTTCTAACCAGAGGGAATCTACAAGAGGGTGGCTGCAGGTGATGTCCAGAAGGGCTGTTGGACTTTACAACCTCAGAGGCTGCCTTCTAGCTTCTTTCGACTGGGAAGGACCATGAGAGGCTTGGAGTAACTGTCAATCTCACCAGCAGGAACTGAAACTTGGACTCTGCTCTGCCAAAGGTTTGGGCAGGCTAAGGTGCTCTTTCCTCCAGCAGGAGGCCGGAGGGTGGAATGGGCCTCTGCCCCCCAACAGGGAGGAGCACTCCGACGCCCTCCCCTTCCTCACCTGCGTTACAAAGGACTCCAGTCCATGGGCTCCTCCTCTGCATAGGAAGAAGTACCCCAATCCATTGCCTCCTCATCTGTATTGGAGGATGGGCTCCATTCCATCATCTCCTCTGCACTGGGGACAGCTGCACAAGAAAGAAGAGTCCAAGTTCTACCAGCAGAAACTGACTAGATAACTGACAGCCCTATTGTGATCGTTTGGGCCCATGGGATCCCTTGGGGGCCAATTCTAGCCCCCCCCATTTCAGGCTCCCAGGATTGGGACTGTGGATCATGAGGGGGCACAATGAGTGTGGGGTTTGCCAGCCTGGGGTGGGGGCCCCCACTTGACCCATCCCCACTCGGGCACCGACACATGTGTGCCCCCTCCACCCTTGCCCGTGGGACTGCCAAAGGCAGGGGAGGTCCCCGGCCAAGCTTCTAGGGTGCCCCACAGCCCACCCCTCCGGAACGATGGGGCTGGGAGAACAGAGCCTCACTGAGCACCCATCCCGGCTGGGCAGGGAACCCACCTAGGCAGGGCCCAAGGATGCACCCACCGGGAGACCCACTGCTTCCACCTTCTCAGATGGCCCAAAGGGCAGTGGCTGCCCCTAATGCCCCACGGCTCAAGCGGACTGAGACCACTCCTGACCCCCTGGCCCCTCTTGCTGAAAGCCGCACCTAGAGGAGCCGATGGAGCCTGGCTCGAGACACCAAAGGACGGAGCCGCTGGGCGCCCGCCGGCCTTCCTCTTGCATTTTTACTTTGTGTTTCTCCTTAATAAGGCAGCAAGGCAGCCCACATCACCAAAAAAGACAAGATTTAAAAACCAAAAACAGTAAATATGCAAATACCCTGTTTCCCTGAAAATCACGCCTTCCTCTTCCTCACCTGCATTATGACCTGCTCGGCCAGGGGAGGTATCGGGGGGCTCCCACAGAAATTCTATCCTGCAGAGATACTGGCAGCTGGATTACAATGCCCATCGTCCTTTGCCACTGTCTGCCTGGCCATATGGGGCCACCTTTGCACAAAACAGCTGCCCTCTTCCTTCCCGGAGGGCTGCTATAGGGCATCCCCCACCCCCCACGCTGCCCCTCCGCCCTGGCTGCAGGCCTCCTGGCCTGGGTCTGTTGGCGGGTCACGGAGGGGCACCCTCCTTCAGGACCTCCTCCTCTGGGGAGCAGAAGAGCCCCTGCTCGGCCAGGGGAGGTATCGGGGGGCTCCCACAGAAATTCTATCCTGCAGAGATACTGGCAGCTGGATTACAATGCCCATCGTCCTTTGCCACTGTCTGCCTGGCCATATGGGGCCACCTTTGCACAAAACAGCTGCCCTCTTCCTTCCCGGAGGGCTGCTATAGGGCATCCCCCACGCCCCACGCTGCCCCTCTGCCCTGGCTGCAGGCCTCCTGGGAGAGTCACCAGCTGCCCTTACCTGGCCTGGGTCTGCTGGAGGGTCACGGAGGGTCACCCTTTTTCCTTGCTCTTGCGTCTCTTTGTCCCGGGGGCATGAGAGGAAGGGGCAGGAGGGATCAGGGCAGAAGAGACTGGGGCAGGAGGGATTGGGGCCAGAGAGACAGAGGCAGGAGGGAGGGAGGGAAGGGAGGAAGTCCTGTTTCCTTAGGATCAACACTTCTCAGAGCTGGCTTTAAGACCAAAGAAAGATCTGTAAAAGGATCCCGAGTCCTCGGGATCCCAGCGACTCATCCTCACAATCCATCATAAAACCCTTTCCACACCACCCAATCCACAGCACTCCCCCGACCAGCTAAGGAAGGAGTGAAGACACTCAAGCCCTGCAGACAGACCTGCCTCCCATCAAGCCGTCAGGGCAAAGCCCAAAATACAACCAGGCAGATGGGATCTGTCCTCCCCCCCCCAAGGGGGTCGCCTTGAGAGGGCTCTGGATTTAGAAGCAGGTTGTCCGGAGAGTGTCCAGAAAAGAGCAACCTCCGTCCCAGCACTCCGAGCTGCCAGGCAAGCTCTTCACGAGGGTGGCCCATGCTCTCCTGCCACCAGAGGCAGGAAACAAGTGGCCCTCCCACCTGGCTCCACATCAGCCCCCCCTCCTAACGTTAAGAGATCATCTGCCAGAAGGGCCACGGGGCGTTTCTCTTTCATGGCTGAGTTGCTTGACATGGAAAGAGAGAGGAGAGGCCCTAAAGAGGAGAAGAAGGTGGCCGGATTCCGGACAGGCTGGATTCAGGGATTCACATCCCGGGTATTTCTGAAGTTTACCCTTCGTTCACAAGTCACACACACACACACACACACACGTGTTGCTTTCTACACAACAGGACACACAACTCCAGTGCCAAGAGGAAAATAGGCACCATGAACTCGTAACCGTCATCCTCATCTTAGACCTGCAGAGCTGGAAGGGACCCTGTGGGGTCATCCAGTCCAGCCCCTGCCAAGGAAAGCCCAGCGGGGGAATTGAACTCCCAACCTCTAGTTCTGCAGCCAGATGCCTACGCCACTGAGCTATCCAGACATTTGCTGCTATGGTTTTACAGTAAAGGCAGTGGAAATGACCGATGGGATTCTGGTCAAGATTTTAAACTGCTGTTATTTGTTTATTTTATATACCAGCCAAATTCACAGAACTCCGGGTGAAGCACAACAAGTGAACCCCACAACCTGCATGCAATACGTGGCCATCCAAAGAGGGCTGCCTTCTCTATTTACTATGTGGCTCCCCGTGTGGTGTAGAGGGTAGAGTAATGGACTCTCAGGAGACTTGGGTTTTAATCCCTGCTCAGCCACGGAGGAGGAACTGGGGGAGAGGAACACGTACAAACCTTAAATATCCATACAGTCTGCTTTGAAATTGGTGGTGAAAGAGTCGTCCATCACAAAGCGAGTCAATCTTTATTTTGCAGTCTCCGACCCATTAAAACACATACATATAATATTTAAATTAAGAGGAAGCAATTAAAACATTTCAAGACAGTTAAAACAGTATAAAGTAATAAGATAGATTACCCATATATTGTTTTTTATATTAATATTATATACAATCAAGGGAAGGGAAGCTGGTGTGGAATTTCCTGGTGTGATCACCAGAGGTCAGTAGCAGATCAAAGAAAAAAGGATGATGCACCTAAAGGATAGTCTGGGGGGGGTCCTGTTGACATGGGCAGCATCCTTAAAATCGTCAGTATCCAATTTTTGCTAAGCCTTCCTTTGCCCATGGAAAGCATCGGCTTTCAGCCAACCAAAGCTTTACAATGAATTTTGAACGAGACAGCCTCTCAGAGGCAGTGATGGGGAAAGCAGCCCTGTTGGATGACGAATCCCATCATCCCGTCACCAGCCTGGCTGTGTGGTCCTTCTCGCAGGTATGCCCTTGGTGCCTGGCAGTACGTACAGATTATCATCTCCCCTGCTGGAAATTTCATGGGGACAACAAAGCATCTCCAAGGGTCTCAGATCTTGCCGACCTTCCATCCACAGGGAAGCGGCTGCAGCCCGGAAATCAGAAGAAGACGGAGGCTCGGAAGGGTAGCCAGGAAGGAACTGGAAAAGAGTATGACCAGGGCCAGTTCTGGATTTTTAATAGAAATAGGTGGCAGGAAAAAATAGATATAATTTGAGTGGGATGCAGAAGTGTTCCCCTAATATGTACAAGTCCTTCTAAAATGTGCCTCAGAGGGGTGCCTAAAAGTGGAAGTATTGTTGGAAAAACACAGCTGGGAACAGAACCACCACACGACCAAGTTGCTTTCAGTACCCAGAGAATGAAGAAGGCGGCAGAGTTTTGAACAAGTAAATAATGATGCTTTATTTTGCCGTCTGAGTTACATTTGCCTATAAAATGTAAACTACTTATTAACAAGGAAATAGATAGGGAAATCTTTATATACTGTATATATATAAGTTAGGTGTAAGGATTGGGGACAGAGGACATGGGATTGAACAGGGGTTGTAAATCATAAAGATTTTACAATATTCATTCTTAAATCATCATAAAGATTTCACAATATTCTTAAATCATCATAAAGATTTTACAGTATTCATTCTTAAATCATCATAAAGATTTCACAATATTCTTAAATCATCATAAAGATTTTACAATATTCATTCTTATCTATTACATTTTCAAAGATACATACGTTTCCAGTGTAACTAATTTATAATAATATCAAATATTAATTTGCATTCTGTTTCTAAGCCAATGATAGAATTTATGCCAACCATCTTAATATTTTGTCTTTCTTGTTGAGTCTAGCCATTCTGATAGTTTATCCATTTCCACCCTATCCAGGATTTTTGATATTCACTCCTCTTGAGATAGATTCTCCGGGTCTTTCCAGTGTTTAGCAAAAAGAGTTCTTGCAGCAGTCAGAATTGTTGTTGGGCCACTGGCAGTGTCCTCCACCACTATCTGCCTAGACCCAAGGGGCTGACCTTGGCATGACACTGCCACCCTCTTCCTTCCCGGAGAGCTGCAATGGGGCGTGCCCCAACCCCCCGCACTGCCCCTCCACCCTGGCTAGAGGCCTCCTGGGAGACCTACCGGCTGCCTTTCCCTGGCCTGGGTCTGGAGGAGGGTCATGCGAAGTAAGGCTACCACTCCGAATGAAGCACTTTCCACATTCCATGCATGTATATGGCTCCTCGCCAGTTTGGTTTTTTTGATGCAACTTCAGGACACTGCCCGGGCTGTGGTTTCTTGCCTGCCCTTCCCTGGCCTGGGTCTGGAGGAGGGTCACAGAGGGGGGGCGCGCTCCCTTCTTCCTTGCCCTTGCTTCGCTTTGTCCCGGAAGCACAAGAGGCAGGGGCAGGAGGGATCGGGGCCTGAGAGGCAGGAGCAGGAGGAATCGAGGCATGGAAGACATGGGCAGAATGGATCGGGGCCGGAGGTGCAGAGGGAGGAAAGAGAGGGGCAGGAGGGATGGGGGGCATGGGGATGCAAGAGGACGAGGAGGCTCCTCCAGATGACGCTGCAACCTGTGCGAGAAAACAAGACCCTCTGTGATCAAGAGGGCAAATAAAGCAGGAGGGTCCCGTCATCCCCCCGCACCCAGGGCCCCCTGTCCCCCCCAGCCCCTCGGTCTGAAGGGCTCCAGCCCAGAGAGCCTTGGGGAACAAATGGCCAAAGGAGCGAACCTTTTTTGGGGGGGCTTTTTCTCCCCTTCGAAACCCCACCATCCCTAAAGGCTGCGGAAGAGGGATGGGCTCCCCAGGGGAGGAGAGGAAGGTGGGGTTCCCCTGAACGTCCTGCCTCTCCAGCCCCAGTCGCCCCAGAGGGCCAAGCGGATGCTGGGGGGGGGAAGAGGGATTGGAGGCGGGGGGACAAAGGCCAGAGAGAGTCTGGGGGAGGCACCCATGACAGGGGAACTGCCCCCCCAAAGCCAGCACACCCCACCCAACCCCTTGGAAATGTTTCCACTTGGAAAAGAGGGAAGGGTTCAGGCTGGATCTGCCCCAGCCTTGAAAGGAGGGGGGCACCCATGGCAGGAGGGGCACTGGGTGAGGGGCAGGCTAGGGAGCAGCAAGGGGTGGGACTGGGTATCTGCCCTCCCCTCCTCCTCTCCTATGTTCATTGCGTGGACCTGCGGCTGGTGTTCCGGAAGTTCGTTCCGCAGGCGGGGCCGGTGGCCCAATTGGCGCGTCGAGGGTTCACTGGGCTCGAGGGTGGCACCAATCGCCACCCAGGCGCCAGCAGCCACGGCCACCAATAGTTCCACGCTCCACGGCCCCAGCCCGGCCACCATGGCCGAGTAGGAGTGTCCCGGCCAAGGCGAGGGACGCTCCCAAGGGCATCAGGATCCGCTGCCCCAGGAGCCGGTGGCCCCTGCAGGGCGGTCCTGGTACCAAATAGGGTAGTGGTATAGGGGGCGCCACCCCCTGCTAGCCTGGCATGGCGGTGAAGGGCTGTCCCCAAGTTGCCACCGAAAAGAGGAGGAGGAGGCGTCAGCAAAAGAAGGCCAGGAGCAGGGAGAGGAGACGGAAGAGGAGCAGGAGCATGGGCAGGAGCAGGACGCACATGCTCCTCCTCTCCTGAGCATGTGCAGAGCGCCGTTACTTATCAGAGATGGAGATGTTGGAAAAAGGGCTCCCGGTGCCCATAGATCGGGCAGGTGCTCATCAGCAGGAGGACCGGAGACTCTTTCCAGGACGCCCTTCCTCTGGTGGTTCCCTGGGATGGAGGGCGGCACCAATCCTGCTCTTTCCTCCATCAGGAGGCTGGGTGTGTGTGATGGAATGGGCCTCTGCCCCCCAACAGGGAGGAGCGCTCCGATGCCCTCCCCTTCCTCACCTGCGTTATAAAGGACTCCAGTCCATGAGCTCCTCCTCCGCATAGATCGTAGGGGCCCAATCCATTGCCTCCTCATCTGTATTGGAGGACGGCTGCACAAGAAAGAAGAGTCCAAGTTCTACCAGCGGAATCTGACTAAATAGCTGACAGCCCTATTGCGATTATTTGGGCCCATGGGATCCCTCGAGGGCAATTCTACCCCCCATTCCAGGCTCCCAGGATTGGGACCCTGGATCATGTGGTGGCACAATGAGTGTGGGGTTTGCCAGCCTGGGGTGGGGGTCCCCACTTGGCCCATTCCCACTCGGGCACCGACACACAGGCGTGTCCCCTCCACCCTCACCCGTGGGACTGCCAAAGGCAGGGAAGCTCCCTGGCCAAGCCTCTAGGGTGCCCCACAGCCCTCCCCTCCAGAATGACGGAGCTGGGGGCCCAGAGCCTCACCGGGCGCCCATCCTGGCTGGGCTGGGAACCCCCTGAGGCAGGGCCCAAGGATGCACCCACTGGGAGACCCATTGTTTCCACCATCCTTGACGCCACAAAGGGCGGTGGCTGCCCCTTCTGCCCCATGGCGTGGGTGGAGGGAGGCCACCCCTGGCCCCCCCTGCCCAAGGCCCCACCTGGAGGAGTCAATCGAGCCCAGTTCGAGGCCACGAAGAATGCAGCCGCTGGGGAGTCGCTCGCTTTCCTCTTGCGCGGTGGCGCATTCTCCCTGCAGAAATGGGGAGAAGTGGGGTGGGGGGAAATATCCCTGGGTCGATTCCGGCAGGAGCTCCTCCTCTGGGGAGCAGAAGAGCCCACGCTCTGCCAGGGGAGCTCTCGGGGTTCCCACACAGGAATTCTATCCTGCAGGGGCACTGGCATCTGGACTACGATGCCCATCGTCCTTTGCCACTGTCTGCCCTTCGCATTACACAGCCACCCTCTTCCTTTCCTATTTGCACCTACAGTGAATTTACCCGTATAACTATAACTAATATTACCCCTCTTCTTTATTCTACGATTGATTCTATCCTGCAATGAATGTTAAATAATATGAATAATGTTCTTTTTATCAAAGGTTTCCTTCCTGTTAGGTTATAAGCTAGTAACTCAAAATGGCAGGGGGGGGGGTGAAAGGCCCAAAAATCCGTAAGTAAAGTGGCGCCCAGTTACCGGTCTGCAGAGCAGCACCAAAAATAAATAAATAAATTCAAAATTCCAACTCTAAGCAATTCCCAGGTAAATAATAACTCCAAACCAACTCTAAACACGCTTCCTTTGTAGTATTTAAATGACTAAGGCCAAAACGAAGCCCCGCACCGCGTCGGATGTGATTTTTTAAAAAAACCCTACACCTTATTCCTTTTTAAATGAACTTTTAAAACCTCAAGGCTCCAACTATCTGCTATGAACACCTCCTCACCTTCTCTTAATTATATTAGTTTTAAACTATTTAAACAAACAAAACCCCGTCGCCGCCGCTGCTTAAATCAATAAACGTATTCAGTTTAAAAAAAACAGCATTTGGCGATTGAAAAACAACAACAATAACAACTTATTTAAACAGTAATAAAGGGGTTGCTCCCCAGCAGGGACTTGAACCAACCACCTCTGGCACTCCTGCAGGGTGCCCTTCCCCACAGAGCTCTTCCTGCTGCTAGCCAACCAACAGTAATTTAACTGAGAAGAATGACAAATATACGATGTAACCCAAGGAGGGAGCGGATGTTTCTCCCCCTCTGACAAGAGCTGACGCAGCAAAAAAGCAAGCAAGGCAGTGCGATCCTCCTTTCGTCCGTCCAGCAGCTGAGACCTTCTCTTCCACCGCAGCTGCATTTTTTCTATGAGCTCTGCTTCATTTCGCTGTTCATCCGTAGTCTGTTCTCCTGGAAAGGGAATATTTAAATCCTCAAAAAGACGCTGCAGTTCCTCTATATTTGTTGCTGTTCTCCGTTTATTTCCCATCATAACCGATAGTCCAAACGGATAGAGCCATTTGTAGATCTGTCTGTCTGTCTGTCTTTTTTACTTTGTGTTTCTCCTTAATAAGGGAGCAAGGCAGCCCATATCACCAAAAAAGACAAGTTTTAAAAACCAAAAACAGTAAATATGCAAATACCCTGTTTCCCTGAAAATCACGCCTTCCCCTTCCTCACCTGCATAATGAGCAGCTCCACTCCATGGGCTCCTCCTCTGCATCCGAAGGGGCCCAATCCATCGGCTCCTCTACGGGATACGGGCTCCATTCCATTGGCTCTGCTGCATTGGGGGCAGAAAGAAAAGTCCAAGTTCTACCCGCAGAAACTGACTAGATAACTAACTAATGAACTAACTAACCAACAGCCCTATCACGATGGGTTGAGCCCAAAGGATCCCACTGCCTCCACCTTCTCCGATGCCCCCTGAAGAGCGGTGGCTGCCCTCCCACCCCATGGCCAGGGTGGAGGGAGACCACTCCTGACCCCTGGCCCCCCTGCCCAAGGCCCCACCTGGAGGAGCCGATGGAGCCTGCCTTGAGGAGCCGAAGGATGGAACCACCGTGGACCCGTTGGCTTTCCTTTTGCGCACTGGCGCATTCACCCTGCAGAAATGGGGAGAAGTGGGGTGGGGGGGAGATATCCCTGAGTCAAGACTTGCAGGCCCTCCTTCTCTGGGGAGCAGGGCCGGAGGATGCACCCACTGGGAGACCCACTGCTTCCACCTTCTCAGATGGCCCAAAGGGCAGTGGCTGCCCCTAATGCCCCACGGCTCAAGCGGACTGAGACCACTCCTGACCCCCCCTTGCTGAAAGCCGCACCTAGAGGAGCCGATGGAGCCTGGCTCGAGACACCAAAGGACGGATTACAATGCCCATCGTCCTTTGCCACTGTCTGCCTGGCCATATGGGGCCACCTTGGCACAAAACAGCCGCCCTCTTCCTTCCCGGAGGGCTGCTATAGGGCATCCCCCACGCCCCACGCTGCCCCTCTGCCCTGGCTGCAGGCCTCCTGGGAGAGTCACCAGCTGCCCTTACCTGGCCTGGGTCTGCTGGAGGGTCACGGAGGGTCACCCTTTTTCCTTGCTCTTGCGTCTCTTTGTCCCGGGGGCATGAGAGGAAGGGGCAGGAGGGATCAGGGCAGAAGAGACTGGGGCAGGAGGGATTGGGGCCAGAGAGACAGAGGCAGGAGGGAGGGAGGGAAGGGAGGAAGTCCTGTTTCCTTAGGATCAACACTTCTCAGAGCTGGCTTTAAGACCAAAGAAAGATCTGTAAAAGGATCCCGAGTCCTCGGGATCCCAGCGACTCATCCTCACAATCCTCTTTCCATCATAAAACCCTTTCCACACCACCCAATCCACAGCACTCCCCCGACCAGCTAAGGAAGGAGTGAAGACACTCAAGCCCTGCAGACAGACCTGCCTCGCATCAAGCCGTCAGGGCAAAGCCCAAAATACAACCAGGCAGATGGGATCTGTCCTCCCCCCCCCAAGGGGGTCGCCTTGAGAGGGCTCTGGATTTAGAAGCAGGTTGTCCGGAGAGTGTCCAGAAAAGAGCAACCTCCTTCCCGGCGCTCCGAGCTGCCAGGCAAGCTCTTCACGAGGGTGGCCCATGCTCTCCTGCCACCAGAGGCAGGAAACAAGCGCCCCTCCCACCTGGCTCCACATCAGCCCCTCCTCCTAACGTTAAGAGATCATCTGCCAGAAGGGCCACGGGGCGTTTCTCTTTCATGGCTGAGTTGCTTGACATGGAAAGAGAGAGGAGAGGCCCTAAAGAGGAGAAGAAGGTGGCCGGATTCCGGACAGGCTGGATTCAGGGATTCACATCCCGGGTATTTCTGAAGTTTACCCTTCATTCACAAGTCACACACACACACACACACACACGTGTTGCTTTCTACACAACAGGACACACAACTCCAGTGCCAAGAGGAAAATAGGCACCATGAACTCGTAACCGTCATCCTCATCTTAGACCTGCAGAGCTGGAAGGGACCCTGTGGGGTCATCCAGTCCAGCCCCTGCCAAGGAAAGCCCAGCGGGGGAATTGAACTCCCAACCTCTAGTTCTGCAGCCAGATGCCTACGCCACTGAGCTATCCAGACATTTGCTGCTATGGTTTTACAGTAAAGGCAGTGGAAATGACCGATGGGATTCTGGTCAAGATTTTAAACTGCTGTTATTTGTTTATTTTATATACCAGCCAAATTCACAGAACTCCGGGTGAAGCACAACAAGTGAACCCCACAACCTGCATGCAATACGTGGCCATCCAAAGAGGGCTGCCTTCTCTATTTACTATGTGGCTCCCCGTGTGGTGTAGAGGGCTGGGGCCCGGGGAGAAGGGCCGCGTGCTGGTTGCCTCCCTCCCTCGATAGGGCCCAATCCATTGCCGCCTCCTCTGCACTGGGGACAGCTGCAGAGAAAGAAGAGTCCAAGTTCTACCAGCAGAAACTGACTAGATAACTGACAGCCCTATTGTGATCGTTTGGGCCCATGGGATCCCTTGGGGGCCAATTCTAGCCCCCCCCATTTCAGGCTCCCAGGATTGGGACTGTGGATCATGAGGGGGCACAATGAGTGTGGGGTTTGCCAGCCTGGGGTGGCGGCCCCCACTTGACCCATTCTCACTCGGGCACCGACACATGTGTGCCCCCTCCACCCTTGCCCGTGGGACTGCCAAAGGCAGGGGAGGTCTCCGGCCAAGCTTCTAGGGCGCCCCACAGCCCTCCCCTCCGGAACGATGGGACTGGGAGCCCAGAGCCTCACCGAGCACCCATCCCGGCTGGGCAGGGAACCCACCTAGGCAGGGCCCAAGGATGCACCCACCGGGAGACCCACTGCTTCCACCTTCTCAGATGCCCCCCCAAAGGGCAGTGGCTGCCCCTAATGCCCCACGGCTCAAGCGGACCGAGACCACTCCTG